GATATGTCATCTTTTTGTAGATGATCTATTTATTTTTCGACGTTGGTCATAAGATGGCAGTTGGAAGCCTTCTTTGCAGACAGAAAGTCAACTTCCACAAATGTGCTCTGTTTGTGGACGGATAGATGCCCGTTTTGTAATGAGCAGGAGACCCAACACCACTTCTTTTTCGATTGCAGCTGGAGTGGTAGAATTTGGCGAGGGACTTCATGGGCAAAATGCATTCGAAAAGCCGGGAGAACAGGATTGCCTCTCTTGGGTGGCGGAAGTGTTTAAATGGGCGAGTCAGGATACTGTGGAGAGGTGGGCAATGCTGATGTGGGCCCTTTGGAAGGAGCGCAATGCGCAACTCTTCAATGGCGTTAAATGGCCCGAAGATGAGATCGTCGCTCGGGCGGTCTCGCTCCTCGACGAGTATCGACGTAATCAATGATCGGAAGACGCAAGTAGTGGAGACCAGTCGACGGAAGTTTGTAAGAGACCACCGGATGGCCATATCAAAGTCAATACTGATGTTAGACTGCTCGCCACTAGTGGCATTGACTTAGGCGCTGTGTTTCGGAATCATCACGGCCATTTTCTTGCAGCTGCAGCGAAAAAGGTACGTGGGACTTATGAGATGGAAATGGCGGAAGCTCTCTCTGCGAAATTTGGCATACAGCTTGCGCATCAGCTTGGCTTCCAACATCTGCAGCTGGAACTTGATTGTCTCCCGTTGGTTGAGAAGCTTCGACGACCAGAAGGTATCCAGACTGAACTTGGGCTCATAGCTAAACGCGTCGGCAACCTCCTGCGGGTGACGTGGTCGAACACTAATTGTATCTCCCATGTGAGGCGATCGGCGAATAATGCAGCGCATATTATGGCACACAATGAGACCCGTTGGGATAGTAGAGAGGTGTGGGTAGATAGAACACCGATTTTCCTTATCGACCAACTTCGATTGGATGATGTAACTGTCGGTTCTTAATTAATATACGTCTGCAGGTTACCCGTAAAAAAAAAAGCATAAAGAGCAACCTTGCTAGTATTTTCGGAATTACAAATGTTGTCTGAGGAAGAAACTCTAAGGACCTGATTGCAAGTTTTGAATAGTTATATGATGAAGTTGTAATTTTTTCATTTACAGTGTAGATGTGATATTTTGTTGTGTGAAATAAAATTTTGTCGAGATGGCTTTGTGCTTATTCTAAAAATTGTGATATTGCATGGTACTAGAGCAGAGAATTCTTTTTTCTTGTTTTGTTAATCTTCATCTCTTTTAGAAGTTTAGAGAATGTTAACAATCCATTCGGTTCCTCTCTACCTTGCTCTCATATTCTCTCCAGATTCTCGATTGTTCGTCTTCTTGGCGATTGAGTTTCTTGATTTTCTTTCGATTCAATTAAATCCTTCCGCTTACTCGCTCTGATTCTTCCGTTCTCTTCACAAATTTCTGATTAATTACTCTTATTTTCGTAATTCTCCTTCGAGTTTGATGAGAAACCCTAAGTCTATTCCATGATGGCTTTCTCGACGATTTCTTTGACGTTTAGTATTATGACGTCTACCACTCTCTTGGCTTCTCATCCATTCTTTATCACCAACATAGATGAACTTTGACTCTAGTAGGTAACTATTCCTCTCTCTAGCTTGCATTGCAACTCATGGGTCAGATCGATGCGGATGGGACCTTACTCAAGGAACAAGCTCTCACCCATCGATTTGTGTGCTCTTATTCTGCCTAGTAAAGATCCACTATAAAATGATTGGGAACAAGCCAACGTTATGGTTATTGGATGACTTCTGTGATTTGTTACCCAAAAAATAGCACAATGTGTGCTTTGGTTCAACATTGCAGTTAAAATGTGGCGTGAAATGTTCAGTAATGGGAAATGAAGTCAGAATCTTATTTATCTACGATGAGATTTCAGCTCTCAAGCAGAGAACCCTCTCTATAAGTGCCTATTTATCAAATTTCGTATACTTTAGGAAGAATTAGTTATTGTTCGTCCCCTTCCCTCCTGCAAATGTAACCCTAAGTGTACATGTGAAACTGCTTCGATTCCTCGAGAGTATATGCATAGAGATTAAGTCACTAGGTTTCCGAAAGGACTCAGTGAGAACTTGGTTGGATCAGTTCTCAGTTCTTCGTAATGGTCTCGTTTCCTTAAGTCACCAAGGTCATTGCTTGCCTTATTCAGCATGAAATGCAGTCCACTGTACTTCCTCATTTCTGCAAGTTGTTATTCCTCTACTAAATTTTGGGTGTTCAAGTGTTGTCATATCTTATATAGCAACTCGGCTGACTACTTTTGAGGACACATGTACATTTATCATTCCCTCTTTTCAATCTCTTTTATCATCCTTAGCATGGGTTGTTGACAATGGTGCAACTCATCATGTAGTATCCGTTGTCCATATATTTGAAACTTATAGAACAATAAATCACTGATGCAATTGTATTATATCACAAAGCAATAAATCCTAGAAATGTATAGGGTCGTACTTCACGCGTCTTTCAATAGTAACTACTTTGTAACTGTATATTTGTGCCAGCACAAAGATGCAATAAAAAGTAAATACGATGGGTTGAGGTTCCCTATGATGGTCGATTTTTTACTATAAGTAAAGCAAACAATTAAAAAGATAGATAGATACATAGAACTATTATTTAGGTAGCTTCATCTAGACGATCATCCATACTATCTCATTCATGCATGTCTTCTATTATGATTACATATCTCTTCCACTAATGCATTCATAATCAAGCTTTCTCCACACGAAAAAGAACTACAATTAGACAATGCATGCTTTACTTCGTGCCAATAATAGGGTTGACAGCCAAACCAAACAATTCAGTATCCACCTGAACTGCTCAACGCGGGTAAAACCTGTATTGAATGAGGTCGGCTAAAACCCAAGTAGTAACAATGAGAGGTTTGCCATAACAACTTATATGCGGACAACAAACAACCATAAAAGGATTACATGGCTGTTACGCCGCATTATGTGGACAATTTTTGGATTCTTCAAAATCACATACTTAGGTATGATATCTATTATATAATTTGACCTATATCTTGTTTACATTACTGGAGTTTTGGTGGGATTTTCAGGAATTTTGCTGCTGGATATTTTGTTGTTGGAATTCTGATTATCTGATGGAAATTTGTTGTTGCAAGTTGCTGAAATCAGCTGGAAAGTTTCTGGATTTATTTTATATCCACTGGAATTTTTTGTTTATTTTTGCTGCTGAATTTGTGCTGGAATTGTTTCTAGAATTTCTAAATTATGCACTTTGAACGTGGTTTAAATGTTAAACTTGGTGTTATGTTAATTATCATATTGAGTAGTTTGTTTAATTTTGTTATGAAATTATTGGGTTTGATGAGAGGAAAGAAAGAAGAGTTGGGATCTCGGCGAGTATCCATGGTTTTTAGGGTAATACATGATACTCGTTCGGGCATGGACGTGGGCATGGTCATGGTCTCGTGGATTTACTATCCATCCTCCTATTTTGGGCAGGTTTCCTGTTTCCACAAATACTTTCTCGGGTGGGTATTGGATACCCATTATCCGTCCCCATCCCAACCCAGTGCCAACCCTAGCCAATAACTAACAATCAAGAACAAGGAAGTATAGATTTCACAATCATTTTAGGGCTTCTACTAGCGCATAGCATTCGTCCCTATATTTGGTGATCTAATCCATCGAGATTTATTTGTTTGAGCGATCACTTTAACAAGATTGATATGTTTTGGTCTCGGGAACCATCAGGACTCGTTGTAAAATCTAGAAGTCCATATGGGCACCATTACTCAAGATTTTACAAACAGACCTCTAGTAACACTCCCATATCATACCATTCCCAATCCCAAGGACCCGAGAGCATACATGAATTATACCACTCTAAGGATTAGGCGAGAGACCATGGACATTTTGTCCCCCAACCACGAAACCAGGGCCGGCTTCCTCCACCCAAACCTACGCAAACTAGAGAAGAGGAGAAGGAGGATGAGGTGCCTACTCCAAAGTCAAAGCATAAACTTGTGGTGGCAGAGTATGTGCCTCAACTCCCATTTCCCACATGTATGCACAAGGAGTGCCTTGAGGTAGGGTTCGTCAAGTTAATGGTCATGCATAAACATATCCATATTAACACCCCTTTTGTGGAATCATTGTCCCAGATAGGGGTGAACAAACACACCCGCAAACCGACCCACCCGTACAACCCGACCCAACCCACCCGTATGTATCGCTAAAATGAAGGTTTTGGGTTGGGTGAGGATTTTCTTTTGTACAACCCGCCATTTTGGGTTGGGTTTGGACTTTGGATTACACAACCCGTAGAACCCAACCCGTGTTCCAATTATTGGTATGAGTTTGTATCCAAAAAATATTTATGTCGTATATAGTCATACTTATGAGAAAATTAAGATATTTTGTCATGTTTTTCTCTTAAGGTCTCCCTAATCTAATGCATTCTTCGGCTTAAAGTTTAGACAGAAATTTAATATAGCTATGATTCGCGTAATTCTTTTTCTTGTATACAATTTTAATAGAATAACATATTTTGGATGCGTTCATTTGTAACCTTTTTAGCCCATTTCAACAAATGTCGTGAAAAAAACTAGACATAAGTTGAAGTAAATCAAATTTTATTAAAATTCAAACAACATTTGTGAATTTTGATACCTTTCACCTTGGTTTATTCGTTTGAATTTTTAATTAGTTATAAAATATTTTTATGGTGTATAATAATTACATATTTTGTGTTGGGTTGGGTTTTTACTTAAAAATATCGCCAACCCGACCCAACCCAACCCAATTAGAAACAAACCGTAGGGTTTAGATTATTTTGGGTGGGTTTAAGTTTAGGGTATGCCTACTATGACATGAATGTCACTGTGACATGGACTTTTCGGTCGACCTAATCCGAAGGCGGTCGACCGAATTGACTAATTTGGGCAGCACGAGAAAGCATTGCGGCCGACCTCAACGACCACCTGGTCGACCGCACTTCGTTTAAATTTTTATTTTTGGTCAACCTGAATAAAACCTCGGCCGGCCATTTCGTTGGCGTCAGACACAACATGGTCGACCGTAAAGGTATATAGGTCGACCACTTGATGGCAATCATTAACAAAATGGTCGACCAGATAAGGAAAGAGGTCGACCAGATAGAAGATAAGTGTTCTATCAATGTGTCCAATCATTTGACGTAAAATGAAGATCAAGTGTTGGTTTCGAGGTCGACCTAATCCGGTACGAGGTCGACCGAATACAAGAAAGTCAACCTATGCCCCGTGTCTTTTTTGCTTATGTATGTCGATTTGTGTGGTTCTTTTGCTCGTATAAATTATGTTTCAAACCATCATAAATAGTCATAAATAATGATAACAAGGACTCATCAATTCATAGCATAACAACTAAACAAACTAACAAGAAATATAATAAAACAAAAATATTAATTGTTCACACATTAAAAAAAAAAAACTAAAACAACAAAATAACAATCAACAATCGTTTTGACCACTTAACAATAAAAACACACAATCTAAAATCTTCGAGTTCCTACTCATGTCCCCTCTCTCCCTCATCCACATTTTCTTCATTGGTGGTACTTGCATGATGGTGGTCAGATGTGGTGGGATGCATGTATCTTCCGTTGAAAGATCGCCACTCATCTCGCATCTCATTCACGTTCACATGCATTGTGCTCATCTGGGCGGTCATTTTCCCCATGTAGTCGTACATGCCAGTCATCTGGCTGGACATCTGGCCCATGTACTCGTACATGCCATCCATGCGCTCCCACACACTCTCTAAGGTGATCGGTGGAGTTGAACTCTGTGCCTACGACATTGGCTCATCTCCGGCTCGGAACCTCACATACATGAATCAGTCAATTCGGTCGACCGCCTTTTGGATTAGGTCGACCGAAAAGTCCATGTCACGGTGACATGCATGTCACCATAGCAAAATCCTTAAGTTTAATATTTCCCAAACCGTAGTGCATGGGTCGGGTGATTAAAATGTCTAAATGATAGACCTATAATTACACATGTTTATACCCCTATTCTTGAGTCGTTTGAGATGTTGATTCTCGTGTTGTAAGCCGATTTCACGCTAGGTTGTGCGTTTATGTCATATTTCAGGGCTTAACGTTGGCATCGAGGCGAAGAAACAAGTTTCGGGTTGAAAGGAGCACGTTTGGGTTGAAGTGTGCTGGAGGAGCAAAGTACCCGGCCATCGGCAGAATTACCCGGTCGGTTATTATTTGGAGCAGACCGGGGAAAATATGTTTTAGGCGTCTGAGAAGTAGAAGGGGGCCCGGGCAGTAATCATAAATCCCCGGTCGGGTATTCTTAGCCCTGACCGGGGATTAACCCCTGTTCCCCGACGGTGCGTTTTAAAGATACCCGGTCTCCACATAAAATACCCGACCGGGTATTCTGACCGGGAATCGCGAACGCAGGCTGTTAAAAGCCTGTTTTGTGCGTTTTTGCAAGGCAGAGCTGGGTTTTGGATCCCAAACACCCAAGGGACGAACCAAAGAGAGAGAGAGCGATTTGAGGGCATTCTTGGAGTGGAATTGGAGGATTTCTTCGCCTTGGAAGCTCGAGGAACAAGCCCAGACTTGAAGACTGATCATTTGAAGATTCTTACTGTAGTCTCTCTCTTCTCTATGGAGTAACTTCCCTTCACTTAGGTTTTGAGGAACCCTAGCTATGTTTGTTTGATTGGATGATTGTATGAGTACTCTTACTTGATAATCTTGAGTTCATATTCAATCTATGCACGTTTTCATGATTCAATTATGCTTTAGTCGAGATTATTAATTCTGCTTTGATCCTATGAGAGCGAATACCTGATTAGGTCAATAGAGCACCATAGTTTGATAGTAGTGGATCGATTGCTTTAGTCGAGGGTTAATTCACTACTTTGTATCGATTGAGAACCTCTTTCGATATAGGGAGTCTAGTTCAGAACGCGTTGATCGGTTGTTCTAGAGAAGGATACGTCCCTCTAGGCAATTGACTCAAGAGGGCTTTGTTCCTTTAGTCGAGACTCAAGGTCTAGTCAAGAATTCTCCGCATTGTGAATGAAAGTGAAACAAGTTAGAGATCATCAATCATTAATCTGGCTAGTGGCTAGGGGGAATCATACCTAAGTGAGTTTCCAACCTATAATTAGATTAACTTTAACTGTAGTTTGCTAGAGTAGTTTTAGTTGTTCTATCTTAATCTGGTTTGATAGATAATGAACTGAAGTTGAGTAATAGTAACTCTAGAGACCCATGGATTAGATATTTATTACTTGAGCCACTATACTGCGGTCCCTTTCATTGGTTACACTTGGCCTTTGTTAGGATTTGTGTCATAGCGAGTCACTAAACCCGGACCACCCCGACCCATGTACACCACTAGTCCCAGATGCCTAATTATGCCAAATTCCCCAAGGACGTCCTCATGAATAAGAAGAATCTTGGAGATATCTCCACAATGATGTTGAACGAGGAGTGCTCATCCACTATGCAGAATAAGCTTCCTAAGATTAAGGACAAGAAATGAGTGGAATACCTAGATGCCAATCACCTATCTCGCATTGAAAGCCTTGTGTGGATAACTTTAATCGTTATATCAATGGCTCCTTCTCATATGGGAGGATTCTCATGATGTGCCTAATCAAGTGCGACACTCATTGGTTCTCCGACTTTGCCAACTATCTGGTTGGAAAGTCGCTACCCAAGGGGATGACCACACAAGAGAAACATATATTCTTCTCCAATTTGTCATTATTTTTTGGGATCATCCTTACCTATTATGGATTGGAGCATAGTGATTCGTCATTGTGTGATGGAGGCGGAGATGCATGATATCCTTATTCATTGTCACGAATGTCCCACAATGAGGCCATCATGAAGGAAATTGTATGACGCAGAATGTGCTACAATCGGGGTTCTATGTCGTGTGGTGCTGCCAGCGTTCATGCACCATCTTTTCACGAATTGAGATGCCCAAACCAATGTATTGAAAAAGCCGTTGTTTAATAGGGGTGTTCTCAAGAAGGATTGATAATTAAACTTCAGATACATAAATCTAACTTGGGATTATGGTCAGCGTCCAACTTTGAACCCATGAATCAGAGATAGTACCAACATTTCATAATTATAGGAGAGAAATTAATATATGACTTGGAATTATAAATATTCAAAAGTTGACACAACGATAAATAAAGGGAGAGATCCTGAATCGGAAAAGTTAGTGGTCGATGGTTCAATGGTTAACCATTATAGAACCTATGATAAATATGTTCATGCGCTCTAACATAAAAGACATATATAACTAATCTAGGAATGAATTTACCACTAGCCATAAACAATTTCAAATCCATATCATATATCACCAAAATATATAACAAAGCATTCAAAATATCTCACAAAAGAAATCATAATTTCGTTATGAAATTCAAGTTAACAATGAGGGTGACAATCCGTATTGGACCACAGAAAGCCGACAAGGAGATTGGAAAGAAAATAAAGTATAAATAAAATTAGCTACCGAGGTTGGATAATTTTAGTTTACGTTTAACTTTTTTTCCTGAATATTTTTGGTTAAAATTATGAACCAACGAACTAGTCAAACTAGAGTGGTTCATTTGGTTCCATGTCAAACCGTCAAAAACCGTTCGGTTCATTTTTAACTGTCCATCGAAAGAACCGAACCGCTATTGTAAATGGTTTAGTGGTTTTACTAGCCCAACTATTGATTCGATTCTTATAGCAATGATAAATACGAAGTTACGGGATCTAGAATCATACCTGACACATTAATAATCAACAACATTCCGTATGTTATGTTAGAGCCCAGAGGACAAACAATTATGTATACTCCATTTTTTCTCAATTATATTAGGATAATTATTTTTATTAGAATCTACAAGCCTTGTTCATTTCAAAACCAGACTACAATTCAATTGCTGATCTAGTTCCATTGTTCTTTGTGATTCTACCTCATCTCCAACATAACATTAGTAATTAACTAATTACTTGCAACTTTTTTTGTTCTTTTTGACATGTTTTTAGTAGCACTGTTGCAGCTGAAGTATGATCCATCTCAGTAGTATTTCCCCAATTTTCCCATAGTGCATTTCGTCATTCCCAAGCAACATGAGAAAATAGTTAAATTTTCGCCCCAAACCAACGACGGTGGATTAATTAAATTTCCAATAGCGGGAAACGAAAACTTTCAAAAATTCACGAGCACACGACTCAAATTTTCGCCAAAACCAGCGCGGAGGGAAAAACAAAAAACTGAAAAACATGTTAACAGTTGAAGCTCGCTTTCAATTGGCTCGTTTCAAATGACGCGGATCGAGCAATAAACAAAAGGCCGTCCGTCGATGAGAGCCTAATCCAACGGTTCTCATCCTCCCACCCCTCCATTTTGCACACTGCTGCTGGCCCCCGGCTTCGCCTGGACATCCAGCTATAAAAACGGATCGCGCCGTGAAACCACCGCATCATTCACCGTCTCTTAGCCTTCCTCTCTCCCTCTCTCGCGCTCCAAATTTAATCGCCGGTCAGTTTCAGTCGCAGTCAATCGTATTCTCTCGAAATGGATGCCTCAACTAAGGTGAAGAAGGGAGCCGGTGGCAGGAAGGGCGGTGGCCCTAAGAAGAAGCCCGTCTCCAGGTCTGTCAAAGCCGGTCTTCAGTTCCCCGTCGGAAGAATCGGAAGGTACCTCAAGAAGGGAAGGTACTCTCAGCGGGTCGGCACCGGAGCTCCTGTCTACATGGCCGCCGTCCTCGAGTATCTGGCTGCTGAGGTAAGCTCCATTTCTTCCCCCCTTTTCCTCTTCTCAGATCTGATTGCAGTTGACCTAAATTGAATTCGTGGATTGAAATTTCTTGGCGGAACCCTGATTCTTGTTGTTGTTGGTTCTGCCCAGGTTCTTGAGCTGGCTGGAAACGCTGCCCGTGACAACAAGAAGAACAGGATTATCCCTCGCCATGTGTTACTGGCCATCAGGAACGACGAGGAGCTCGGAAAGCTGCTCGCCGGAGTGACCATTGCGAGTGGTGGTGTTCTCCCCAACATCAACCCGGTGCTGTTGCCGAAGAAGACCGACAGAGCCACCAAGGAGCCCAAGGAAACCAAGTCGCCAGGCAAGGCCGCCAAGTCACCGAAGAAAGCTTAGTTGAATGGGTTACACAGACAGACTGTTTGTGTTTCTTCTTGCTCCTCCGTTCTAGATGTACCTAATTCTCAGTTTAGTTGTTTTGGTGGGTTTCTTTTTTCCGTGTTGGATCCCAGAGAAAAAAAAAGATGCATTATGTGAAAAGGGGCATCTCCTTTCTTCTCTACTCATCTTTGTTATCACAGTGGTAGGATGGGTAAGGATTGTAGTGATTGAAGCTCTTATGGATTGAAACATTTTGTTTCCGCCCAATTTGTTGTTACTGCATTCATTATTCATGGTTACTTCATTTTCTCTTGCTTCAGTGTTAAGCTCCCATTTGTTGGCTATTTTGAGATGATAGACCGCCATGGATGGCTAACTTTGAAGCTGACGAGCATATAACAAGAACGAACTTTGACTATTCTCGAACTGGTGCTTGTTAATTGAAGTACTGTTAAAATTAGCATAACTTGAAAACACAAATTAAAGTCGCAGACCTTGATGCTATTTTCTATTTTTATTAGTCAAGTTCACCCATTGATGTAAATCTAAAAGGTCCCCGTGAAGCCAAACTGAGGCTAGAGAGGTTACAGAGCAAGAACAACAGGACAGCAAGCATACGGAAGGTGAAATGAAGCGATGGACACAGGACTAGAAGTTGAGCATAAACGAGAAGTTATTTCCGCGAAAGGAGCAGTTGAACACGAGCTATCGATGTGGAAGAGTCTGTAGGAGAAAGGGAGGAGGAATTAGAGATGGAAGGCCGAGAGCAGGTCGATTAGAAAACAAGGTTATAGCAGGGAGCTTCATCGGCGTTTCATTCCAACCGCCGCTTGATCGCTGCGTCCTCAATCACCGGCGATTGAATCAGAAGAAGAGCGGAGGAATACGGGAAGTGATCGCAATTGAGACTGTTCCTCTTGATCAGTTGAGACTGGACAAGTTGTTGTGCCAGTCTTGGACAAGAAGAGCGGAGGAAATCGACTGGCACAACAACTTGGCACAACAACTTGGCAAACCTCACGAAACTATACAACCTGTACTGAGTATAGTTTAAGCCGGGTTTTAACCATGAAACTGTGCTTATCTATTGAGTTGTTCAACTTTAGATGATGAATATTGCTTCCTAATGGATTTTATTCTAAACTCAAGGTCTGATGAGAATCTAGATGATATGATGCCCAAGATTGGTCATAGAGATGTACACAAAGAGATTAATACAGATGCTCAGTTATCTCAGTGACAGACCCAGTGAACTTACAAATATTGATCATTTGAAGGTAAGGTATACAATCCTGTCCAGAACCACTTTGAGCATATCATCTGTGAAAGCAGCAACTAGTATTGATTGAGGGCTGGCTTATTCCAATTCATCAATTGATGTTGATTGAGAGACCAAATTGACTTGTTTTAATATACCATAAGAGTTCAATGGTGGATCTTGGCTCAGTCCTTCTGTCTTTTGTTTTTGTTACGAAGTTTTTTTACTTTGAGTCTTGCAATAGTTATTGCCTTACCTAAACTGCAACAGTGTCTTGTTTTTTTGAATTATTGATATGGTTAAGCACCCAAGTTTTCATTGTTTCACAGGTCTGAGTAGTTAACTTAAATCTATGTTGTTTGTCATTGTACATATTGTAAGAGTTACAAACTAATGGCGATTTCCATCATCAGAATGGTCCAAGAGATTACTGGTATGATATGCAAACAATGTCTGAACTAATGTTCTCATCTAGCATTGATCACTTTTATTTATATGTCATTGCTAGAGTAGCTGGTTGCAGTTATTCCCTCTGATTTGCATGTGTGTTCCCTAAAAAGTTTCATCATTGATTTAGAACCATAGGGTGGCAGTTATTCCCTCTGATGGCTAGAGAAAATAGACAACCTCCACAGGTTATACTATAGTACAGCGCGTCTGTGCGATTATCTTACCCTGAAAATTATCAAAATACAAGCAGGAGGGAACCAACTTTTATCAGAATGGCAAAAGGATCGATGCAGTACTTCCAAGAAACACCATGTGCTTAACTGTTCCAATGCAGTACTTCCTGCTAATCGCACCTCCACTTGTTTCATCCCCAAATCTACATTTGGTTCTTCACACTTCTCAACCAAACCCAATTGAAAGAATGAGCTGGTACAAACAAGACCTTAATGCTTCGCAGTTTTTCATTTCTTGCAGTGGATATAAAGTTTAAACACAACGAACTAGGTCATGCAGATCCAAGCTCCAAATTTCAAAAGTTAAAATTGCTTCACACCAAGTACCAAACAAGCAACAATCTACAACCCTAATCCTACCCAGATACAAACATACACATTTCTCCCGGGCCCCCAATTCTTCCTCGCGGACCAAACCCGTACTGAGTTCAAGAGCTGGTAAACTTGGTGACGGCCTTGGTCCCCTCAGAGACAGCGTGCTTCGCGAGCTCCCCGGGGAGCACCAGCCTGACGGCGGTCTGGATCTCCCTGGATGTGATGGTGGGCTTCTTGTTGTACCTGGCGAGCCTCGAGGATTCCTGGGCGAGCTTCTCGAAGATGTCGTTGATGAACGAGTTCATGATCCCCATGGCCTTGCTCGAGATCCCGATGTCCGGGTGCACCTGCTTCAGGACCTTGAAGATGTAGATCTTGTACGTCTCCACGCTCTTCTTCGTCCGCTTCTTCTTCTTGTCCCCGGCGGCGCCTCCTTCCTTGGGGAGCTTCTTCCCGGCCTTGGGCTTCTTCTCCGCCGGGGCTTTCTCCGCCACCGTCTTCTTCTCCTCGGCTGGCTTCTTTTCCGCGGGCTTCTTCTCTGCCTTGGGTGCCATTTCTGGTGAAATTAGGGTTTGGTTTTTGGTCGAGGAGGAGAGATAAGGAAAAGCTGAGATAGGAATCGTGTTGTGAGATAAACAGCTGGTAGATGACGGGTTATTTATATATATGGAGCTTATGAGGTTTTGATTGGTTCCTTGGGTCTTGTTCAGGATTGCTGACGTGGTAGCTTCCCGCCGTGCGATTCGGATTAGTTACGTGAATTAATTGACGGTGGAGAGAGAGTTTATAACGCTGGCCTGTATTTCCCAACACGCGGATGGATGACGTGGATAATATATGGGTCCGTGTCACCGTGAATTCCGCTGGAAGGTTGTCAAACCAGGTTAAGTTATTGAGCCGGTCAAGTAAAGGGTTTGAGATTTATTGATTTGATCGGGATTCGATTGGTTTCAGCCGTTTAATACGTTTTCTAGATATATACACAAATAAGATAGTAATTTAAAATCAAACACTGAAATGAAATTTATTTTATATGTATTTATTCAAAAGTTATTTCCCAAGACATAAAACCTCCTAACCTCCATGATTCATTATTTCACCCACCATCTTCTTTTCTTCTTCCCCCTCCTCCCTTTCCTCTCTCTTCTTCTCTCTTTTTAGTGGTCAGATCGGGGAGTTTTCTGAAAGCTGTTTTGAAGCCCGAATTAGGTATACCTGGGAGCCCGATAGGGTTTAACAAATGTTTACGCCTAGAAAGTGCCAGGCGGGTTGTGAAGACCGCTGAGAAGATCGATGATCTACCCGAGACGAAAGAGCACACCGTTTCCTGCAAAAAGGGTCCGGGGGCGTTGCCCGGGGACACTCTCCGATGCTTAAATTAGTATTCAGAGAGAGAATAGAGAGAGAGATTGTAGAGAGAGAGAGTGAAATTAGTCACCATAAATGAGGTTGTTAGCTCTTATTTATACCCCTGGTTATTGGCGCCTGCACACACTGTCTTGTCACACATACCTCGTACTCCTCTACACGAGGTACGCTTACGGCGGCATTTAATGCTGTCAGTCCCGGCTCCACCTATCGCAACTGTTCCGCGCGGGACGCTCTCCCCTTGCCTCCTGACGTAATGGGCCGGCCTGTTTTCTCCCGAGCTCCCGTGGGCTTTCCCTCCTTGGGCCGTCTCGGTCCCTCTGGTCCCTAACATTAGCTTTTGGGTTATTGGGCCTACTTCCCTGTTACCTCGGCTACCTGGGCCTTTTATCCATCTTCTACTACGTGGGTCATTGATCCAGATGGTGATCCCCCATGGCCCAACATTTGTCCCGCAGGCGGGTAAAGCCTCCGGGTTTGGGCGGCTGATTTTCTGTGTTTTAGGGCGGGATCACCCACTGGATCAATGAACCGCCCTTATCCTGTGAATCTCTCCCTCCAACCGTCGAATCGGGGCCCGCACGCCTCGAGATTGCTTTTTCTCTTACCTCCACGTGTGACGCAGCCTCTCGACGGTTAGAAGTGACGCGCCGCCAGGAATTCTTTGTTGTCATGATTAGGCTATATAGCCTACCATAGGGTTTCTCAACCGTCGCTCCTGGAAATCGCGCCGTGTCGTTTAAAAGCTCCCCGGAGAAATCAAACGAAGGTACTCTTTCTTCTCTCTCGCTCCTGGCTTTCCTGTTCTTCTTTCTCGATTCTACTCTGTAACTTGTCTGGTGTCTTTTTTCCGTGATCATTGCTGTGTAACTGTCTCTGTGCTCCCTTAGTCTTTTGTTGGTTAGATATAATCCATTTTTCTGACAATGGCTGGAGATGGTTCCTCGCACCCGTCGCCGTCCGCCAGTTGGGTTTTTCACCAAATCGGAAGAAACCAACCTCCGGCGCCCTCGCCGCCGTTCATGCCCCCGCCGGCGGTGTCGCCGTGCCGCCGACTGCCAATCCTCCGATGCCGATCATCCTAGACTCATCGGACACGGTGACGGATCCCATAACCGCCGCTGCCCAAGGTATGCTCCATCTGAACGCTTTATCGCCCTTTAGTACGGCCGGTTTTGACTGGGATTTTAGCGGGGTAGATTTAGATTTAGATTTCGGTGGTTCGTGGTCGGATGACGGCCGGTTCCTGCTGGGTAGGTCCGAAGACGGGTCGTATGAATTGACAGATGTTGCTTTGGGTTTAGGCGTAGAGAATGTAGCACCTAGGGGAGACGCTTCCGCCATGGGGGATAACCTGGCAAGTTTTGATGACGTCTCCATAGCGAGCGTGAGTTCTGATGAGGGGCTTAGTCTTGACGAGCAAAATTCGCCCGAGGTGCCCGACTCTCCGTCCATTGAGCTTTCGGAGGATACTTCCGGTGATGACTACCGCGCCGTGATTGATAACACGTATTCAATCCGCCTGCATGAGCATATGTGGGGGAAGCGGGAAGTCCCGGCGCGTGCGTTTGACCGAGGGCCGGACAGATTCAGTAAGCTGACTCCCATTACCATCCTCACTCGCCTTAGGAATTACCAGCTGCCAACCGACTGGAAGTACGCCGTCCCCTCTGCCACCTCCAGGGCGGGTACATGTCCCAAGGGATGGATCACCATATACACCGAGCAGCTGAAGTGTGGGCTACGCTTCCCCCTGGACCCTCTCATTACTCAAACTCTTCTCTGTCTCAACTGTACTCTCGGCCGACTGTCACCCACCATCATTTTTCACGCCTGCGCCTTCAAACTCGCGTGTAAGAGGGTCGGCGTTGAGCCTTCGTTTGCCGCTTTCCGACTCATATATGGCCTTCGTCGGGTGTCTAATGTCTGGTCCTTCGGGCGGCGGGACAAGGATTATGGGTTTGTGACTGGGTCGCCCAAACTTGATAATGCTTGGTTCAGGGATTTCTTCTATGCCAAGCCTACATCATTATGGTATTCCGGGGATAAGGAACCCAGGACGGGCTATGCTTACGGGCGGAAGGAAAATTGGGACGCCAAACTATGGACTTTAGATTCCCAAAAAGAGTACGCTGCCCGCCTCGCCAACTTCTCGCCATTTAATGTGAAGCCCGGGGGATCAGACTCTGTGAGATCCATTTTGACCGAACTCTTCGGGGATGGTCAGTAGCGTCGTTGATTTTGATCTATTCTTTTGATTGGATGCTTGTACCTTGTGTTTCTTATCCGGTTGTTTTTTGCAGTTATGAATTTCGGGAGCGTGGCGATGATGGCCCGACCTCCCCGGCGAGGCAAGCTCACCGTTCCAAGGACGGAAACCGCTTCCCCGGCTCCTTCCAAGCCAGGTCCCTCCGCTTCGTCCGCTGCTGCTCCGCTGAAGGTCTTGCCTCTTGCTAACAGGCTTCCCCCTACTACCAGTCAAGCCACTCTCTCCATCGGTGAAGGGGGGTTGCTAACTGTGCAAGCCAACACCGAACCGGCACGCAAGGCCCGCGACACCGGGAAGCGGATAGCTGAGAGTCCTGCGGAAGAGCATGATGAAGGTCGGAAGAAGACGAAGGCGACCTCCCCGACAGAGCGTGTTGACTTTTCTCCCCACTCCTCGCTGCGTGAGGACTGTGCCCGCCAAATGCTTCACGAGTTATCGGGGAAGCTTCTTGTGCCGCCTGAATATACCGAGGTTGAAGATCCCGCGGCCAAGCATTGGGTGGGGACCGCTGCCCGCTTCCTTCTCGCGGTACGTACTTCTACTCATTTATTTTCTTCTTTTATGGAAAAGGAAATGTGACGTGGAGAGTTTTCCTAGGCTGGAATTGGTTTGTCCCAAATCGGGATGACCAACGAGAAGCTGCACACTGCCACGTTGCGTGTGGAGGCGGATTCGGAGAAGCTGCGGAAGAGGATTGAGGAGTTGGAGGCGGAATCTCTCAAGGGGCGGGCTGCGTTCCGGGCGGAGGCTAAGGCGGAGCTGGAAAAGGAGCATGCTGAGGTGGTTAAGGAACTCCGTGCTGATCTCTCACGGGGAATTCAGAAGGTCAACAGTCTTATGGCCGACAAGGAGATATTGGAGGCGGATGTTACTCGGCTGCGCGAGCGTGTTGGAGAATTGGAAAAGGGCCAATTGGAGAGCGTGATCAAGTACAAGGCCGAGGTCGATGCTGCAACCCATTCGGCGGTTTCCTCGTACTTGTTGTCTCCCGCCTTTCGCAAGATTGATGATGCTAAACGTATCAAGGCTATTGGTGACACCGTGGCTTCGATCCGTCACTTGTTTCGTCGTGAGCATCCTGATTTGGAGTGAGATACTGACGCCGTGTGGGATGCGGTGGTTGCTTGGGGTTCCTCTGCGGATGACGTCAAATCTGAGGTGGACCTGAACGTGCAAGCTGGAGGTGATGAAGCTAGCTCCCGGGGTGGAGATAAGTCTTAAGATGTCCTGATTACTGCTTTTATTTTGTTGAGTCTGTCCTCGACTGGAACTCGGTTTGTAATATTATTTATCAGTACTCTTGACATTGCCCGCTTCAAAGCGGACTCCTTTATCTTTAAGCCTGAATCCTTTTGTTGATGTGTTCGTTTATTCCCTCTTCTTGCGTTTGCGGATCTCGTAAGGGGTAGTATCATAATGTTTTTGGGGCATCGCTCTGCCCTTTGGGTGGCATGTTTCGAGCGAGTCCCTGCTCCTCAGGACGGATGGCGGGATGGGTATTCCGTTTCGTGGTAGCTTTTTGAATGGCCAAAGTCCCGCAATGCGTTTTAGGATCTCGCTCTGCCTTTGGGATGACGTGTTTTGAGCGAGTCCCTGCCCCTCAGGACGGATGGCGGGTTGGGCATTCCGCTTCGTGGTAGCGTTTTGAATGACCCATGTCCCGCGATGCGTTTTGGATCTCGCTCTACCTTCGAGATGGCGTGTTTTGAGCGATTCCCTGCCCCTCAGGACGGATGGCGGGTTGGGCATTCTGCTTCGTGGTAGCGTTTTGAATGACCCATGTCCCGCGATGCGTTTTAGGATCTCGCTCTGCCTTCGGGGTGGCGTGTTTGAGCGAGTCCCTGCCCCTCAGGACGGATGGCGGGTTGGGCATTCCGCTTCGTGGTAGTGTTTTGAATGACCCATGTCCCGCGATGCGTTTTAGGATCTCGCTCTGCCTTCGGGGTGGCGTGTTTGAGCAAGTCCCTGCCCCTCAGGAGGGATGGCGGGTTGGGAATTCCGCTTCGTGGTAGCGTTTTGAATGACCCATGTCCCGCGATGCGTTGTACACTGCGATTGTTATGATGCCGAAAAATACTTGTATTGAATAATTGAAGCGAGGTTACATTTAATCTACCGAAAAGTACTTGCGCAAGTGTAGCGCGTTCCATGTCTTGCTTATGGCCTCTCCGCCCATGGTTGCCAATTTATAAGTGCTTGGCCCAATTTTATCGCTTATGAGGTACGGACCTTCCCAATTGGCTGCTAACTTCCCGTGCCTCTCTTTTTCCTTCTTCTCGAACATTCTCTTGAGCACCATGTCACCCTCCTCTAATGGTCGTGGGCGTACTTTGCTATTGAACGTCCTTGCCACCCTTTCTTTCTCTGCGATCGTGTGAGTTAGAGCTGCTTCTCGCCTTTCCTCTGTCATGTTGAGCTGGTGTAGCAGGTTGGCGTGGTTGTCCTCGGGGTCATATGCTCGAACGCGGAGCGTTGGGAGCTGAGTTTCGGTTGGAACGACTGCTTTGCATCCGTAGGTGAGGGCGAATGGTGTTTCCCCCGTTGCAGTCTTGTGCGTGGTCCTGTGTGCCCAAAGTATGTGGGGGAGCTCGGTAGTCCACGCTCCCTTTGCTTCTCCTAGTCTTCGCTTCAGCCCCCGCAATATCAACTTGTTGGATGACTCTACCTGCCCGTTTGCTTGCTGGAATGCCACTGAGGCGAAGTTAAGCTTTATGCCGTACCCTTGGCAGAATTTCTCGAACGGGTGACAGTCAAACTGTGTCCCGTGATCAGTCACAATGGCTTTGGGGATGCCGAAGCGTATCAGGATGTTGTTGAATATAAACTTCTGCACCCGGGCGCTGGTAATGGCTTCTAGAGGCTCGGCCTCTATCCACTTGGTGAAGTAGTCGACAGCTACTACCAAGTACTTCTTTCCCAGCGGCGCGTTGGGGAAAGGTCCTAGAAGGTCCAATCCCCATTTCGCGAATGGCCAGGGACTTGCAATCCCTTTCATCTCGGACGCGGGTTGGTGATGCCTATCAGCATGTGCTTGGCACGCGTGACATTCACGGACCATTTTGAGGGCGTCTTTCTTTACTGTAGGCCAGTAATATCCCTGCAAGAGAACTGCTCTCTCAAGGCTTCTGGGACCGACATGGGTGGCGCAAGTTCCCATATGGATCATTTTAAGAACTTCCTCTGCTTCCTCGGTCCCTAAACACTTCAAGTAAACGCCCGTGAATGATCGTTTGTACAACTCTCCTCCCACGATCGTGTACCGTGTGGCCTTCCTTCTTGAAGCCTTGGCCGCTGCGGCATCTTCCGATATCTCATCGTTTTCCAGGAACCTGATCACCTGGCTTCTCCAATCTTGATGACTTGCGGCTGTCGAACCCCCTACGACTGCTACTTCCTTCATTACTGTGACTTGCCTTTCTCCTTCGAAGTCCATGGCGGTGGCCAGTTTGGACAACGCATCGGCGTGCGAATTTCCTTCACGCCTGCCGTGTTCCAACGCCCAATCCTCCATCTATGCTAGTACTTCCTGTGCTTTCCCGGCTAGCCTTGTTAACTCCTCTTCCTTTATATCAAAGTTCCCATTGATCTGTCCCACCACCAGTGATGAATCTGAGTAGATCCTGACTCTTTTGGCCCCCATTCCTGAGACCAGCTTCAGCCCGTTCACCAACGCTTCATATTCAGCCACATTGTTGGTCTTTAAGGCTTCGAAACGCAAGGCGATTTCATGAATAACGCCCTATGGCGTTTCGATAACGATTCCCGCGCCTTCTCCTCCTTTGCCCGCCGCCCCATCTACAAACAGTTTCCACTCGGCATCCACCTTTGGTGTTCCTTCGTCGAGAGCGAATCCTTCGACAACAAAATCTGCCAAGACTTGTGCCTTAATAGCTGGCCTAGGAGCGTAAGAGATATCATGCTCGCTGAGTCCTACTGCCCACTTTGTCATTCTTCCTGAGGCGTCCATGCCTGGCAGTATCTTCTTAAGGGGGAGGTTGGAAAGAACCGTGATAGGATGAGCCTAGTAGGGTCGTAGCTTTCGAGCCGTCATAGCCACGGCTAGGATTGCCTTTTCGACCACCAAATATCTTGTCTCTGCCGGGAGTAACGCTTTGCTGACATAATACACTGGCTGATCCTTGCCGTCTTCTGCCCTTCTTACTAGCACCGAGCTAACAGCCTGCTGAGATACCGCCAAGTACAGAAAAAGACGCTCCCCGCTGATGGGGGCGCTGAGTACTGGGGGGGATGACAACCGCTCCTTGAGCCGGAGGAAGGCTCTCTCGCACTCTTCACTCCAATCGAATCGACTCGCCGATTTCTTCAGGACTTGAAAAAATGGGGAGCATTTATCGGCTGAGCGAGGTATGAACCGACTTAATGCGGCCATTTTCCCATTGAAGGCTTGTATCTCTTTGATTGTTCTTGGAGCTTTGAGTTGCAAGATTGCCTCAATCTGCTTCAGATTGGCTTCAATACCACGCTTCGTTATCAAGAAGCCCAAAAATTTGCCCGCTTCCGCTCCGAACACGCATTTCGTTGGGTTGAGTCGCAAGCCATGCTCTCGCAAGTTTGTGAACGTCTCCCTCAGGTCTTGCAAGTGCGTTCCCGTCTCTCTGCTTTTCACTAGCACATCATGAACGTATGCTTCTACGTTTCGCCCTATCTGAGTGCGTAACACGGCGTCCACCATTCTCTGATATGTTGCCCCCGCATTCTTCAAGCCAAAGGGCATCACTACCCAGCAGTAGTTTCCCGTTGCCGTCATGAACGCCGTTTTCTCCTGATCTTCTTCTGCGAGGCTTATCTGGTGGTATCCAGAGAACATATCCAGGAAGCTCAACATGGAATGATTGGCGGTTGCATCGATGAGGCGATCGATTCTGGGGAGCGGGTATGAATCCTTCGGGCAGGCGTTGTTCAGGCTTGTGAAGTCCACGCACATGCGCCACAGGCCCGAGCTCTTCTTGACGAATACGGGATTTGCCAGCCAGGTGGGATATCACACTTCCCTGATAAACCCCGCCTTGAGGAGTTTCTGTATCTCTTCTTCCAGGGCCATTTGCTTCTCGACGGAGATGTTCCTCCTTTTTTGCTTGACCGGGCGGGTGTTTGGCTTTACTGCCAGGTGGTGTTCTGCGAGCTCCCGTGGCACGCCCGACATATCCTCTGGCCCCCATGCAAAGAGATCGGAAAATTCCCGCAGGAGGATGATCATCTTTTCCGCCAACTCGGGTTGTAACTGTGCTGATATCCGCACCGTCCTTTCTGGCTCCTCATCCCTTAGGGGTACAGCCACGTCTTCCTCCAACGCTTCCGGCCTCGGGTTGTTGCCTCCTGTATCGACCAAGTCTACTTCCAATTGTCTGATGGTCGCCTGGTAACATTCTCGCGCCTGGTGGGTGTTTCCTTTGACACATCCCACTCCGTCTCCCACGGTGAACTTCAGCCTTTGGTGGCAGGTGGATGCCACCGCTCCGAAGGTCGAAAGGAAACTACGCCCCAAGATGGCGTTATATGCGGACGGACAGTCCGCCACGTAGAAATCCATAGACTTGGTCTTAGTGACGTTCCCCTCGCCAATGGTTACCCTCAGAGTGACGACACCCAACACTTTGATTTTCGAGCCCGAAAACCCCACCAGTTGTGTGGCGGACGGCTTGAGATCTTCCACACCCTTTTTCATGCTTTTGAGTGTCGAGAAGAATAGGATGTCGGCGGAGCTCCCGTTGTCAATTAGAGTCCTCGTGACCTTGTACCTCCCGGTGCGAAATGATATGACAAGCGGGTCCTCGGCGGCCTCCAGGTTGGCGAGTTCGGACGCTCCAAACACTACCTCCGCAGTTGTGGGGGCAATCGTCAGGCATTCTGCACCTCCGTCTGCGACTCGTGAGCGTTTTCTGCCTCCTGAGATTGTTATTATCTCCAGATCATCTTCATCCAAGCGAGTTTGCCTCCTTGGTGGGGACGCATTAGGCGGGGACGGCAATCTTCTTTCTTTCCGATCCCTGGACCTCCGCCTCCGGGGCGACCTAGACCTCCTGTTTTGGGACTTGGAGCGGGGTCGTCTCGGGGACCTGCTGCGATACCTTTTGGGGGTGGGTGACCTAGCCCGCTCCTCTTTTTTAGCCTCTAGTCTGCTTCGGAGATCTCCCGGTGCGAGGTTTGTAAGGCTCAGCAGAAAGTCGCGACACTCAGCGGTGTTGTGTGATGTTTTCTGATGCCAATCGCACCATCTTCTGAACACGGGAGCCTCTGGACGCCTTTGGTTATCGTACCGAACCTTGTCTTCTCGCGGCAGCCGGCGAGGGGCCTCATCCTTGTCGCCAACTGTGTAGACTTCTCTCTTGCCTTCTCCGCCCCTTGCTTTGGCCTTGTAGCCATGTCGCTCTGGGGTTCTTCCTCTTCGGGGCGGAGACCTATAGTTTCTCTTCGCCTCCCTTCCTTTTCCTCCGCGATCCGCTGGGGCCAATGCCTCCTCCAACATGATTGCTAGCCGTACCAAGTTGTCTAGATCAGGCCAAGTCTTGATGTCTTGTTCCTTTTTTATTAGAGCCCTCTGGAGCTCTTTGCTTCGGGTGGCCATCCGTAAGCTTCCGGCTGCAACATTTGGGGTCACGCCTTGTATCTCACAGGCGATAGTGTTCCATCTGTCATAGAAGCTGGTTAAGGCTTCTCCCTCCCCCTGCGTGCAATTGATTAGTGCAGTGACAGTGAGTCGCCTCCGGATTTGTGAAGCGAACTTCGAC